ATATATATAAGCAGCTCTCAAAAAGTACTGCGTAAATCGGTGAAAAAAATGAGCGATTCGGATTATTTATTCACTCTATTCTTCACTCACTGGTTCGTGTCCAAAGTGAGCAGTTTCAGCAGATATCGGCGAAATAGATGATCTAAAGGATTGTGTATACTTTACTAGTTTTACGCTTTATTAGTCATAAACGGTATGGAAGTTAGCAAAATTCTGCCTGAATGCAATTACTAACAGATGGTGCTACAAAAGCCGTTTACTACCAAATTAAAATGAACAACAAATGTATAATTTGTGCCAAGCCCTCTGGTTATTTTACATGTAACAAGCCTTAGTAACCTCAGGCTTAAGGATGAGTCTAGAGATATCACTGACAGTTGTAGACTACAAGTGACGCTTGACTGTGGCCGGAATGATTTACTGACCAGTCGATGAATTGAGGGATGCTGTCAGATAGCACGCACGCACACGCGCCTTGTGGATGATCCTACAACAATGTCGATCTACTTGAACTAATCGGATACTGGTGTGGGTTGTTCCCACGCTGATTGATTACTTGACTGTTTGAATACCGGCTTGACCGCCCCGAGATGTCATGTGACGCGTGAGCCTTCTTGCCTGCCTGGGTTCCTACGTGTTGCCCGCTTCTGCTCGCTCGCCGGCCTATGGACTGGCTACAATAAAAGTATTGCATAATAGACTGTATTACGTAATTACCTGCCCAAACGGGAAACAAGTGATCAAATCATGTCAGACAGGAAAACTGGACTTATTCAGTTAGCAACCATTCAAAAAGGAATAGTTCGTAGCAGAAATAATTCCCAAATCATGCAACTTCATGCGGTTTAGCTTTCATTGTCCACCCCCCCCTCCCCTCGGACTTGCTTTCACTGTTTTCTAACTATTTTCAATATGAAATCAGTAATACAAATTACCTATCATATAAATCACCAGTACAACTATAGTTAGGTGTCTTATTTTTCTCTCTTATAGCTTCAGTCTGAATTGTCCCCAGTTGTGAATGCCATCCAACCAGTTTACGGGCCACCAGGTGAGAGTAACAAATGAAATTAGATTCTTTTGTTATCACACTCATCAATTTTGATTTTTTATCATTAAATCTAACAGTGAATTTTGGTAGCCTATCTTTATACCTCTGCAAAGCGAATATGTATTTGCCCCAGTGGAACTACAAGACTACACCTTCTGGTGTGATTACCTATACGAGCTAAGGAAAAATGTGGACACACCAGGCAGCATGTTTTCCTTAGCATCACAGGAGTTCACCGATGAAACAACCCAGGGATAGTTACCTAACACGCTGTCTTGTTTGTCTCTGTCCGATAGTTAACACAGTACTGGCCGATTGTGATGCACTAGAGTGTTTTCTTTCTGATCAAATTGAGTTTCTTTATATTAATCACTATTATTGCTGTAGGTATGGACAATAATTTATCTCTTGCCTACTGCGATCTATGTAGTTTCTAGGCTGCATAATTGTCAATTAAACGCGTCTGACCTTGATTGTCAAGATTAAATAATCTACACATGAAAATCGCAAATGTTATCAAGTGAAGTGGCCACTTCACAAACACTGATGATGTCACCTCGCCTGGTGATGAAACGTTTGCAAACAAATTTCCAAGCTCGGTGAACAGGAGAAACAGAATTCACCTGTGTCAATTCCTCAATTTTTGACCTTGGTGGAATATTCTGAATTCTAGAACCCAAGCAATTTGACTGTCACCTTACCATTCCCATATTTTTACCCTGCTCTTCCCTATCCATTTATTGTGACCTCATAAGTTGTTGTGAACACAAACAATCATTCACGAACAGTTCAGACCATGTATTCATCTATTAACTAATTGAACTATACAGGTGTTGCTTGAACCCGTACAACATGAAATACATCCCGGTTTCTAATATCATAGGTTTACGTCAATAGTTATGGTTGAAGAGAATTTATTCTGACCTTTATATCCCATTGTAGGTCGAGAAAACTGATCTATTGAATTCGTTTTCCAATGAATTTCATTTTATCTTTCAAAAAAAGCAAATATCCAGCTCTTCCACAGAGTTAGAAGGGAAGCGAACACTAGGCACCTTGTTGATGACCTCGAGGGTGGTGGTAAAAAAACGGTTAGACCTCATTAACTATTTTTTTGTTTACACGTATGCAGTTTCCGGAGGGGTCAAGTTCAAATTCGAATCCATCCAATTGCCGCTTAGCAGTGGAGGTTTAAATTTAAACGAAACCTTTACCTTATGTTAGAAACAAGGATCAATTATCTACCTCGTCATTGGTCTTTAGTGGAAAACATGTGGCTTGTAGTAGAGGAAACTGGTAAATGCTGTTGGGCAGTCAACTTAGTGAGCTCAATGCAAAAACTACTGCCTCCGATGCTCGAAAACTAGGCAAGACAAATGGAATATTGACAAAATGAAAATACAATCAGTGTATCATATTTGTGACTCATTTTTATAAAAATGAATTCAAATTACGTTTCTTGCTAAGGTTTTGTTAGCATACAACAGGTGTACCAGTAACAGTCGTCGGAGTCGATAAATCTTACGTTTTATTGTCATAAATAAGAATAGTGAATAATAATGCATATATATGTATTATGCATCTGATGTTGGGCAATATCATATTCAATCTTAGTAATGAGGCTGAAACGCTAAGTGTTAGGAAGAAAAAATGTGATGTGAAATTCAGCATGTTACATGAGTTTGATCAATACCTGTATATTTAAATGCCTGAAGCGACACCCAGCTGGGTCGATGGATTCGCGGGCTGCACGGACGAGAGACCGAACCATGTCGAGACAACTGCTCAGGTTTTCAGCTCACACTTCATTTACACGGCGAATTCGTCATATAAACAAATCAAATCCTCCTGTACTCTCACAACAATGGGAAATTTCTTCGCTTCGTGTTTTGATTTTGTTCTACTGCAGCATTGGGCATGTTTTATGATCAAATCAGTCATTTAGAAAAAGTCCTCNGGTTTCACATCGGTTTCCCTTTTACGCCGAACCTCGACCGACACCAGGCACTGTTGTTCAACTAAGTGGCACAATATTCACCAGTCGATTCACTTCGAATATGGATGTGTTCACTGTCGGAAAACCACAAAGTATCATCCGGTAAGATGGTGTAATCCGATTTTTGCCTCTGTGATTTCGTATTTGGCGGGGCAAGTTTTGAACT